GTCAAATGCTGGACACACTCAGCCATGAGGACTTCTCCGTTGTCTTGGAAGCTCCTCCCTGGGTATGTGCATGGTTCACTCTCTCTCTTCCTTGAAGCCTTTGTCCCAGTATCACCTTCTTTGTGGGCCCACCTAAGTACCCCTCTCCTACACTCTGCACTCCCCTTATCTTGCTATGTTCTTCTCTGTAGTGAGTATTACTTTCCAACATAGTATGTGTTTTCCTTACTGATTATGTTTGAGTGTCCATCTATCCTCACTAGAGTGTCAGCTCCATGAGAACAGAGATTTTCGTCTGGCTTGTCCGCTGCTGTATCCCCGCAGCTGGCACAGAGTAAGTGCTCATTAAATATTTGTTCAGTGGTGATTCAAACATGAACAAAAACTGGGATGTCAGGGAAGAAAGCTAGCATGGGTAGGAGGAGAAGATAGGGCTGGTCTAGAACATTTGGTCTTAGGTGCTGAGGGATGCTAGGTGGATGGAGAAGTCCTTCAGGTAGCTGGGAATATGTGTCCTGAATGCAGGAGCCAGGTCCAGCCTGGGAGCCTGGGTTTTGGAGCTGTTCAAATATATATAGAGAGGAAGACAACTGATGCTTGGAGGGCAGCAAGAGCACCATGAGGACACCGTTGGAGAGACAGGGAAGGAACTGAGAATGTCAGGTTTTGTAACTCAAGGGAGGAGAAAATTTCAGGGAGTGGGTAATCAAACGTGCCTCACATAGCAGAGACTTCAAAGAGAATTCGGAGGAGGCTTGTGTGTGAGAAGAGGCCATTTGGCTTAGGAAGTCACTGGTGTCCAGTCAGAGAAGAGTTTCAGTTGAGTGGCATAGGCAGGGACCAGACCCGCGATGTCCAATATAGTGGACACACATGACCATCGAGTGCTTGAAATGTGGCCAGCTCAAGCTGAGGTGCGCTCCAAGTGCCAAAAACACCCTGAACTGTGATGATTTAGAAAAGTCAGGGGGAAAAAAGAATGCAGTATGTCTTCATAATTTTTATATTGATCACGTGTTGAAATGATCTTTTCATTTCAAATATATTAGATGAGGTCTGGTTATATTAAGTTAAATAAAATATATTTTTAAAAAGTAGTTTGTACACACTGCTAGATTTAAAATAGATAACCAAAAAGGACCTACTGTGTAGCACAGGGAACTCTGCTCAATATTGTGTAATAACTTAAATGGGAAAAGAATTTGAAAAAGAATAGGTACATGCATATGTATAACTGTATCACTTTGCTGTACACCTGAAACTAACACAACATTGTTAATCAACTATACTCCAAAATAAAAGATTAAAAAAGGGCTTCCCTGGTGGTGCAGTGGTTGAGAGTCCGCCTGCCGATGCGGGGGACACGGGTTCGTGCCCCAGTCCGGGAAGATCCCACATGCCGTGGAGTGGCTAGGACCGTGAGCCATGGGCACTGAGCCTGCGCGTCCGGAGCCTGTGCTCTGCAACGGGAGAAGCCACAACAGTGAGAGGCCCGCGTACCGAGAAAAAAAAAAAAGATTTTTTTAAAGTAGTTTCAACTTTTTTTTTCGCTTTTAAAACACACTTACTAGATACTTTCAAATTACACATGTGGCTCACATTATATTTCTTTTTCTTTTATTTTTCTGAATGATATTATTTTGAACATAAGCATTTCTTGTGATTTTGTGTATGTGTGTGGCTGTCTCTTTCTCTCCTACAGATTAGTGGACATTCTGAAGGGATGATGGAATGTGTCAACAAGGAGTCCATCTGCTGTTATATAAGCATCTCTATGCTCAGTAAGAGAGAATGGTCCTAAGGTCTAGTTATAAAGAGCCATGACAAAAAAAAAAAAAAAAATCAAAAATTTCTAGGCAAGAGGCAGGCTGTTTAGTTGATTTAAAATAAATATTTTAGTGAGGGTGGTTTTGTCCCAGCATACTGAAAATGCTAAGCCCTAAACTGTAACACACCATTATATATTATAAGTAGATCAGAAGGGCATGTTGGATATGACCTCATTCCTTAATTCGCTCCTTCATTTACTCAAAAAATATTTACATGTCTTCAATGTTTCAAGTAATGCTTAATGTAATATGGTAGATATTCAGTGAATATGACTTGAATTTATTCGTGTATGCCGTCTCGCATTTATATTTATAGAACAGTCACCTCATGCCAGACAATGTTAAGTCTTAGGGATATATTGGTCATCAATGAAGATAGTCTCTGCCACCATATTTCTATTGGACACAGATGGCTAGTCAGCTGGGGTTAAAATTCAACAGCATATATACATTTGGTTTTCTGCCTTTCTTTCCTTCTACCTCCCTCCCTCCTTCCCTTCCTTCCTTCTTCCCTTTTGTTCTTTCATCCACTTCCTTCCTTTTTCCCTCGCTCCCTCCCTTTCCCAACCATGCCTTCTAACAGCTACGTTATTTTCTGAATGGACACCTGATTAGTTGATTTCCCATTCTCAATAAAAATGGATGCTTTTTATGATATCAGATCATCACAATGCTTTAGCATTAAGTTGCCTGGGACTATATTAAAGCCAGTGATATATGTAGTCCATTAGCTTTACTGAGCTCTTAACCTCCCTGGGAGAAAAAGAAACTACATAACTGAGGTTTCTTTTACATCAAGCAGCAAATAAATGAAGGCCTTTGAAGAAATCACCTACGTGAAATCCTGGAATTGCAATTACCCAACTCTCCAATTTGGCAGACAGAGGTTTTCTTACAATATAGCAATCTCCCAAATAATGGTCCCTCCCAGTGGGACGTAGCAAGCCTGTGGGTCTCATGGGTCCAAGACAAAGATGTTACTGATTTGGACACTTGAACTGCTTCTTAAGAAGGATATTCCCAATGTTCATCTTGGCTGGGGTCAGGAATTGTCCTTGTAAGCTGTGAGGTCAACCTTTAGTCTTTTTTTTTTTTTTTTTTACGGTATGTGGGCCTCTCACTGCTGTGGCCTCTCCCGTTGCGGAGCACAGGCTCCGGATGCACAGGCCCAGCGGCCGTGGCTCACAGGCCCAGCCGCTCCGTGGCATGTGGGATCCTCCCGGACCGGGGCACGAACCCGCTTCCCCCGCATCGGCAGGCGGACTCTCAACCACTTTGCCACCAGGGAAGCCCAACCTTTAGTCTTTATGAATCTGCTTGTAGTGCAATGACTTTGCTTACTTCTCAGAAAAGTAAAAGGACACTTAATAAAATAAGTTGCTTCTACTCCCCTCTGGTTTCTGTGAAAAAATAAAATTCAGTATTAAAATTCAGTGCTCTGTAGCAATGTGGACATTCTTCCCAGGAGAGATGGAGAACTTTGGAGCTGGACAGGACCCATGAGGCAATCATTTCAATAGATGAGGAAGTGGATTCAGAGAGGTCCTATGGTCCCGCGATGGCTCAGCTCATCCGGCAGCAGTGGAGTGGAAAGGAGACCTCCCATCCATCCTGCCGCCTACTCCCCGCGGCTCACCTCTCTGCTGTGCGTCGTCCACCTGCCCTTGCCCAGGAGACACTGTGGGCACCAGAGCTGCCCAGATGTTCCTGTGCCTCAGGGTGCCTCTCTCCACCAGAGTGGTCTTTTTTTTTTTTTTAATTTAATGAAAGGAAAGTGTTCTTTCCTCAAATATTTATTTAGGAACTTGTGGTTTAAGTGGACACCTCTGGTGACTGTTAGGATTGGTTTGGCCAAAAAGTTGGTTTGGTCTTAAGTAAAAATAAAAGACACATCTTTCATTTTCACCAAGAACTTTATTGAACGACATATTCCTTAACCGGATGAACTTTTTGTCCAACCCAATATTTTCTAATCAAAGAGCAGTGAAAATAAAACCAAGATTAATTGATGCTCTCTTAGGTTTGCATGACTTTAATCTGAGTATAAGGACAAAGAAGGAATTATAAAAGTTCCCCGTGTAATGATCTCCTTTTAAAAAGGAGGAAACCAGTTTGCATCCAGAATCCTAGCTCAGAGGTGGGACTCACCTGGATATTGACAATGTCACGTTCCAAGTGAGCCAGAGTAGAGGCCGGGATTCTCATTGGCTGTGAACACTTCTGGCCATTTCAGTATCTCCAGGATTCTCGGAAGCAGACCCAGAGATGAGGATTTGTGTGCAAATGGTTTATTAAAAGTCTTCCCAGGTACTGGGGGAGCAGGTCAAGGAGGGGGAGAAGCCAAGGAGTGGGGGAGAGGTATGCTCTGGGGTCAAGTCCCAGCCTCAGCTGGATCCCACATGGGAGCCCTGCAGTGTCAATTATACCTCAGAGTCAGTCCACACCTGAGGCAGGAGAGCTGGCCTTTCATCGCCCTGCACTGGTCAGTCATTGGTCAAGAGCTAACCTGCCCAAGGTGAGCTCCCAGGTAGCCCAGCGCTCTGCGAGTGGAAGCACCCAGGGTAGTCTTCTGCTGCAGGCCAGAAGCCGAGCACACAGGGCCAGGGGATGGATACAGGAAACAGGAAGGAGGATGGAGGGAATCTTTGTGTGGCACTGTCAGTGTCTTCTGCACCACAGTTTTGGCCTGGACAGAATCTTGACATCTTCCACTATTCCGTTTATGTCTTCCAGGGCTCCTTACCCTGACATCTGAGTTGGGGTGTGTAGCGGATATTTGTGTTTTTTGGTTGCCCAATCTCCATCCCCCCTTTCCCTTGATAATTGTAATTTAATTGTTAGTAGAGTAATTTAGCAATACTAAAGTAATAGTAATTTCAGGAAATTATTCTTTTTGTCTGTATCTTTTGGCAAAGATGACTAACCCAGACTCTGTGGGTGGGCAGGTGCCCAAGGCCCGGGCAATCAGCACGTTCCTTTCCCTCTGGCCCAGTGACTGGTTCAGGGATGGGGCCTTGGTCAGGAGTCAGACACAGGGATCAGGAATGACTCAGTGGTTTTGAAACAGAAATATATTTACTGGCGGGAAACAGGTGTTCATGGAAAAACTCTGGCTGGGTCTCCAGGAAAGATGCTTTTTGCCCACCAGGGATTAAGGTGGAAGGAGAGGAACACCATCCTCCACCCTGCCATCCCATTCAAGAATATACCCAGTTGCTGCAATCCAGGCTTCAGAAGCTTCTGGACACCCATGGAGCTGGAGACTCTACCCGGAACCTTGGCCAGGCGCCACAGCTGAAGCAGCAAGAGAATGGGACCCATCTCACTGCTGCCTTCCAAATCTCACACTAGGACATGTGATGAATGGCACCTAATTTGCATGCGGAACCCCAGCTGAGCGGGGATGAGGATGCAGATTTCCATTCTGCAGGCTTTGCAGCACAGGGATGCAGCCTGAAGGGATCCTGAATGGGGACTGGTTCACCGTGACCCACACAGGTGGGTGCAGAGCACCTCCAGCAACAAAGTCGGCACTTTGGTTTGGCCAACAAGGGGGAAGAGAAGCTCTCTGTGTTTCCTGCTAGGTGTGAGCATCAGAAGAAGAAGGTTAGTAGCTACTGGAAGCCATCCTGACATCATGTAAGGTCTGAGAATGAAGCCGCTGTGAGGTGGAGAACAGAGCCAATTTGAGAGATCCGAAAGATCAGATGCCAATTAAAGGCTCAGACAGGGGAGGCAACTTATTCAAGGTCACACACCTGGAGTGAGGGGCGGAGCTGAAACAAGACCACCGACTACCTGACTCCCAGTGCAGACTTTTCCCCATTATTGTGATCCTTGGTCTCCATAGAGCCTGCCATCCTTCCCCCGACCCCGACAGCCCTCCCTCTGCAGCTGGCAGGGTTCCACAGGCCCTGTTTATTGAAGGAGCTGATTGGCCCGACCCCTCCGCATGCTCGGAGCTCCCGTAGCAGGAGGCCCTGGCAGGAAAGCACCAGAACGCACTTCCGCTGCCAGCCTGGTGGAGCCCTTGTGCGTGAGAATAACTCCTAGCTGCAGCCTGGCTCGTGAGGAGCTCAGGGCTGGCTTGAAAACACCCTGTGGGTCCTCTCCGAGGGCCGCTGAGATGCGGTCACACCGGTTTAGGCTACTTTAAAGCTCCGGAAACCAAGGGAGGTGAGGTGGCGTGAACCGGCGGTGGGCTCTGAGGGCAGGTGAGTCTCAGGCCAGCTTTCTCTGGGCCTCCAAGGTCACCTTGGGCCCTTACTCTGTCACCTGTGATCTTGTTTTCCTCTCCCCTCTTCTCCCTGGAAGGATGGGAAGGAAGGACACTTCTGACCTCAGGAGGAGGGGGCTGGGAAGGAGGGGGCTGGGAAGGAGGCACCTAACTGGGCAGGCGCCTCAGTTAGACCCTGAGACGGGCGAAGGTGTCGTCTGCCAGATCCTGAGCGCTTCCCCTACATTTATTTATGTACATTGATTTTTTAAAAAATCCTCCCAGCAGCCCTTTGACGTACGGTACAACTGTTATCTCCATTTGTCACAGGAAGAAACAGAGGCTCAGAGAAAGTAAGGAGCTTGCTCAAGGTGACACAGCAGAACTGGGATTTGAACCAGGTGGGTCTGTGTTCCAAATTACTATGCTCTGTGGCCTCAAACCCCAGTGATAATCAGAGCTACCCTCTCCTACACATTGGCTACTTTCTATTCCTCCCGAGAGCTCTGCAAGTTCCATTTATAAGCCCCATTTTTCAGACGGGAAAACTGAAGCTCAAAGAGCTTAAGGAATCTGCCCAAGGACACTCAAGGACATAGAGTCAGACGTGGCAGTGCCAGGACTGAACCCAGTCTTCTCCCTCCGTGGCCCGGTTCTGACCTTTATACTGTGCCAGACTTTCATTCTCTGAAACGGTTGCACAGTCTCTCGTAGGACACCTACTCTGATCCCTCCTCATTTTACACCGAAGGAAGTGAGGTTCTCAAAGCTTGGGCGACTTGCCCCAGGTCAACAGCGAATGGTTGGTAGGGCTAGAACCCAGACTCCGGACTCTTCGGCGGTGTGTACGCAAACTCCATTTCCTGACTCATGTTGTAATTTCGGGGATGTTTTATCTCCATTGCTAGCTAATCTTCATTGGGCAATGGCTTCTACCACTTTGGCTTAGTTTTTCCCTTATCCTCTGTCAAGTAGTTAATGATCTATAATTGCCTGAAGAGGAGATTGGGTTAGGGCTTCTGTAATTGCAATGGATACTCTATGAGAAGAAGACTCCTTTTCAAAACAGAAACCCTCCTATAATACAGTGTCGACACCCATAATCTTTTGTCATGGAGGTCCTGAGCACAGCTACACTTAAACAGCAAAATTCCTCTAGGCACTTCTATGTATGTTCCTTACAAAAACACTTATTGGAAAGCGGGAGGGGGCCTGGGAGGGTGAGCAGTGAGAGAGAGAAAAAGCCTAGAATCTGGAAACCAATAGGCACCGCATGTGATTTGGCTTTCCTCGGGGATTTTAGATGATCCCTTTTCTTTTAATTTTATTTTTCATTGTGCTGAAGTAGATGATACGGGTCTAAATAATATGATAATTATGGCAGAAAGTCACATTGTAATTGCTTGATTTACTCGTCCTCTTCTGAAATCAACAACATTTACTGAACATCCCCCCTGTGCCGGGCACTGCAGGAGCCATGTGCTGAGGATCCAGAAATGAATGAAACCAGGTCCCTGCCCCCCTGCAGCCCATAGTCTAGTGAGAGAGACAAATGCGGGGCACCCAGCTCCAAAGCCCCGTGTTCAGTGCTGTGATGTGGACAGGGTCAGTGTCAAGACCAAGCGCACGGCCAGCAGCGTTTCCTTGGGTGGGGAAGTGTGGGATGCTTGAGCTTCACAGAGGCTGGGAGGCTGGGAGGTGGGGGCATTTCGGGCAAAGGGAATGGCCGGAATGAGTGCCTTGGGGGCCTACAAGCTGCAGTGGCTGTGGGGAGAGCTGCTGAGGAAGGAGAGGGGAAGAGCTTGGCAGGTTTGGTTCTCAAGAGCCCTGCGGGTTATGGAAAGGAATTTAAATTGTCTCCTGGAGGCAATGTAGAGCTATTGAAGAAGTTGGGCAGGAATGTGCCGTGACAGGGTTCCTATTTTAGAAAGTTACTCTGGCTGCCGTTGGAGGATGGACTGGATGATGAGTGACGCCAGCAACGGGTAAGCCATGTAGGGGAGGATGTCAGTGCTCAGAAGAAGATTGAAACGGCCCCAAGTGTCTGCACTAAGGACCAGAAGATGGAGATAGAGAAGAGAGGATGCATGGATTGAGATGTTTAAGGGGAAGAAAAGAAAGGCCTCAAGAATGAGTGCCAACATTTTTAACTAGGTGTTTGGGTGGCTGATATGCTAAAGAAAAAGGGGGGGGTCTTTTTTTTTTTTATGGTATACAGGAAGTTAGGAAAATAGAAGGACAAAAATACCCAGGAATCCCTTCATCGTACCACAACTCATGTGCATATTTTGATTTATTTCCGATATCTCCCCCTAGTTTGTAACTCAAATTCTTAGGTGACACTTTGAGTGTTGGGTGGTAATGGGAAACACTGCATGCTTCCTGAAGCCTGTGAAAGACTCACTTTTAAATCAGTTGCTGGAGGCTCCATCCTCATTTCTTACTTTAAGGGAGGCTGACTTTCTTGCATATGTAAGAGCCAGTCTCTTTGATCCAGGACCTGACAGTGAGCATTTTACTGTTCCACCTGTTCCACAGCTTGGTGCATCTAACTATCTTTTTCTCTTCTACCTCCCCACCGGTCATAAAAATGACCAAGATGATGCAACATCTCATGCCTTTGTGTCCAGGGAAATTCATCCTGAGATGCCAAGAAATGGCCATGTTTAAATTAATCCTTGCTGTGGCTGGTGAGGCCCACTCGTTGGAGAAGTTGGTGGGGGGATCATAGATTTTTCGCTTAGCAATGAAACCCCGTGTTTTCACTGCCAGGATATTCTCTGAGCATAGTTTGACTTCCAGCTTTGCTCTACAGGGAGTATCCAGCCTGGAAAATAAGTAATTGATGAGAAGCCCGCAGAAATGTCCTGACTCTAGCGGGCTCCCACGGGTCAGAACCGTTTGCTATGAGCAAGCTCCGTGTTTTGCAGAAGCATGGAGAGAAAGCTGCAGCCTTCCTTGGGGGAGGTATTAGGCAGAATGTCAGCACACTTGGCTTTGAATGAAAGGCCTCAGGGACAACCAGACAGTGGCCTTATTCTGTGTTATCAGGCTGAAGGGTGATCTTTGGCAAAGTAGACATTTGATGGAGAGAGCCGAGCCTGGAAGGGGAACCAGGTTAGTTTGCTAATCCGGAGCATAGATGTGGTTTCAGTGGAACCTTGGCAAACGGGAGGCCACTGGGTTCATTCCTCGGCTTCTCTCTGCACACCATGGCCGCCAGGAGACTTCCCTCTCCTGGGCAGCCTCTGGGAGGAAATTCAGTGATCAAGGAATCCAGGGCAGCAAGAAGAGTAAAAGTAGGAGATGGATAGTGAAAACTGGGAAAATGCTGATGACCAATGCAGGAGTTGGAACCATTTTTATCTGTCACATGCTCTTGTGCAGGGAGAGCAGGATGGCATCCAATGGTATGTTCTCTGGGGCTTTGCCCGGGCTAATTTTACATGACAAAAGCTGCTCTGTGTTCTTTCATGGAGCTTTGGAATGATTTTGCAGGCCCCATGTGGCCTGGTGGCCAGAGTTGGAAAAGGCTCCCTCTTGGACTTCCGGCAGCAGGTGAGGGACACGGGCTGTGATTACCCAGGAGGCTAGTTTCCCCTGGCCGCTCTCGCTGTTCTTCCAGTAGGAGGCCTTTACCGGTCACTGGAGGGGCTGCCCAGGGCACGATGGGTCACCATCCTGAACACCAGGCTCTTTCATCCAGGCTGGAATGAAGGTTGGACCTTTCACTCCATGTGGGTCACCGAGAGATTTTGCAAGATAGTGTGGCAGAATGTTTCTGTGGGTCTAGCCCTTCACATTCTGTCCATGTGGAAATGCCCAGTGTGGCCAGAGGAAGAAAGATGCCTGGGAGCCAATGTGAGGCTGGGCCAGACTGGCAAGAGTGAAAGCACTGTGGTCAGCCAAGTTGCAAGCTGGTTTAGAAATTTACTGATCTCTTTAAAAATAGGTAAAGAAAACCAAGTGACTTCTTTTTTTTTTGAAAGGAAACCACTGATAAAGAGAAAGAAAAATGTAAGCACTCTGTTCTTCTGAGAGCAATAAAGGCAGCGAACAGGGAAACGCCAGAAGCTGTGACCCATAGTGTGTGCTCTCTCTTCAAAGCTCATTTCCATTTGCACACAAAGGGGAGATTCTTGTTTTCGTAAAAAGACATAACTCAGGGAAGGAAATGAGCTATAATTATTATTATTAATTTTTAGTTTGTTCTTTCAATCAAAATAGCTCTTCAGTAGAGTGTTCCAGTGCAACCTAATCTCTTATGTCAACACGCAGCCTGGAGAGCCGGCAGGGGCCCTACACTCACACCTAAGGCATAGGCATCTGGGGAAGAATCTCTCCATAAGGAAGAAAATCTCCATTAACTCCACGGGCCCCTCCACTTACAGGGCTTCTCAGTTTCCTCTGTGGTGTGTTCCCGAAGCCAGAGACAGAACCAAGTAGAACCTTCCTGACTCTTTGGTAGCAAGTGACAGAAATCAAATTTAAAGGACATGATAATCACACAAAAAGGATGGGAAGGAGCGGGGGTTGAAAGTGCTTAGGTCATGTAGCTGAGAAGAGGCAATTCCTTTCCCCCAGTTTTTGTCTCCAGAAGAAAGGGAAGAGGAGCAATGTGGGTAGAAATAACAGACACCCACCACAGCCTCTGCCTTAGCCCCAAAGGGGACAGTAACATCAGCCTCCTCCACCCTCGAATCCCGAGATGCTACTGCTCTCTGTAGTCACTGGGTGTGTCCTACTCGGGAGCTCTTCTTTGATCTCAACTCATCTTCCCTCTCTTTGAGCACCTGGCATACAACCCACTGAAAATCCTTATCGTTCTAATGCATATTCTAGGAAGACCAGAGTCCACAAGATCGCTTTGGACTTGTAGTAACCTGAGTACTGAATGGATGGGATGCTACAGTATTAGAATCTTGTATCAGGGCTGAAGTTGCTGCAGCAAGCAGATGCAACTAAAACATCTTCCCTTTCCGTCTCAGTAAAGTCCCCTTACCCAAGATTCCAAGGAGGGGGCTTTTGACTGCAGTTAATTTGCACTGCTGCAAATGATCCCAAACTCAATAATTATTGACTTCTTTCTGAGCTAAGGAATAGAAGAGAAGACTATTTTGGTTGGATTCTTGGTCACACAAATCAAGAGACTTGCTCAGGTGAGCTCAGATAAGGATTCCTATTGTTCAGTTTCAGGGAGATCCAAGAACAGGGCTGTCTGAGCACTGGGCATCACAAAGAATGGAGATGGGAGATGACTCTAGTTTCATGTGAGACATGTCAATAGTGGGTTTCTTCATTTTCATGCCACTCACTGGAAATGTGTGTGCGGCGGGGGGTGCTTTGTTTGTTTTTAGCTCTAAACTCCTGCTAGGCTACAAGAAAGGCGTCCATCTCATTC